TTTGAACCCTCCTCTATATATATATATATATATATATAGGTATGTATATATAGATTAGAGATTTACTGATTTCAAAAATAAGTTTACATACATTTTAATCAATAACTCATATTTTATATCAAATTTGTGGATTCAACCGTTGAATTAATTGTTTTTAGGTTTAAATATGTTTTAGGTCCCTTAAATTTAAAATTAGATTTTTTCAAAAAATCTTGTTTTAATCCTTCTACTCAAATTTCGTTAGGAAATATGTAAAATATTATCACAACAAATTTACCTATTGATGTTTCTATTAATGAAAATATCACATTAAACTTAATTGATAGTGTATAATTGTCTTAATTTGTTATTTTCGTTTTCAAATATGTTGTTAGTTATCTAAGAAATTAAAATAGATTTTTTTTAAATATAAGATTAAAAATGCTTTAAAATTTGAAGAGTCAAAAATAAATTTATTCTAAACTTGAGGAATTAAAATCATTTAAGTCTAATTTATAATGTATAGATTAAAATTGTAATATTTTTAAAATTTTAAAATTTATTTGATATTTTGTTTCATTAATTTAAATCAAGGTATAAAATATTTTTAGAAGTTTTTAATCTTTTGTGCGTGTGCATGTAGTAACATATATATATATATATATATATAATATTTACTGGTGATTAAAATCTTCTGTGGATATAAGCCAGAAATTCTTTTATTTGTTTCTCTATTATTTTCAGTAAAAGGTTCTATGGGTTTTAAATCATATTTTTCCATTCATGATACTTGATCATCAGACCTTAATTAGGAAATCTGATTTCAGTTTAAGTCGGATGAAGTGAGTAGATTTGTGTTCGGACATGACTAAAAAGAATTATTATTTGTTGTGGAAATAACAAAAAGTAGGTAACCAATTAATCCGTGCTTGTGAAAATATACGGGTAAGCAATTTAACTGATAAGTGATTAAAACAATATCACTTGTAATGTTTTAAAAACTGCACCAGTCGAGCCGGTAATCAGTGGTCTAGCCGAATTTTAAGTTAGATCGGTTATGTATTTGATCTATTTTAAATCGGGTTGAATTGGTCAATTTTTCAGTTTAACCAGTTAGGGTCAAATTGGTTTAACTACAATTTTTTTAATATTTTTTTTAAGGGACTACAAACCACAAAAATAACAATAAGAATTGAATCTATTAATGAAAGAATAAAAAGTCTTATTAAACATAAGAATGACTACTTGTTCTAATGTATTTGTTTGTAAATATATGCAACTTAAATAATTTTTATAGTATATTATTAATTTTAAATTATATATTTAATAATATAATATCTATATAGATATTACATATATTATTTTGTGATATCAATTGCAAATATATTATATATGTAAATATTATTTATTTTTAATTTATATTAATATACAGTTTAGCATGAATTTTTTTTATGTATTTCTTTATACAAAATAAAAATAAAGATAATTTTAAATAAGATAAAAATTGAAATTTAAAATAAGATGAATTTATTGAAATTTATAAGTATAAAATATATTTAACATGAATATTTTTTTAAATAATTAATAAAAATTGGGTCATGCAGTTCAATTAGTGACTTATCGGTTCGACTTTTGATCCACTAATCCAGTACTTTAACTGATTTGATGAGCGGTCCAATTTTTAAAATTATATTTTTAAGTGTGATTCCCGTTAATCAATACCATTATATGAATAGGGAATTCTTTTGCGTAACCACATTTATTTTCATTTTTAAATGAAATTTTTTGTCCTTTTCTATTTTATAAAAAAAATTAAATTGTATGTTTAAGTAACACATTTATTTCCGTTTTCATATGGATATTTTTTTTCCCTTTTTATTTTATAAAAAAATAAATTGTATGTTTAAGTGCTGAATTTCAGCAACTGTTAGTTCTGCTTTGTTTAATTGTTTTGTTTTAGTTTTATTCTTTGCAATGAATAATTATGGATCATTAATTATTATTTTTTTCGTGTAGAATTTGTTTTTCTGCACAAAATATATATAGGCACGGAGGGGTCTTGACGAATATAATAAGCATTATGCTTAACCTCATATAGGCATTATGCTTAGTCAAACTTGACTGGGTGGGCTATATAAGAAAATAGGAGTGAACGCAGCACTTATCCAACACAACTAATATAAAGTTTTGCATTAAATTAACGTTGTCTTGCTAAGCAGTAATTTATTGGTTAAAGAATTAGTAAGTAGCTTTTTTTTTATTTTTATTTTATTTTA